TAAATCTTTACTATCACTTCTTATTTTCTACTTCCGGCCAGAATTATAAGCGTTAAGGTTTTTATGCAAAGTTTGTCTGGCGAACGCCAAGTATTTAAGTTGTGGCTTTTTGCCAAGCGAGAGAGAGGAAGCAGTAAGTCGAAGCAGGCCGCTTACCTTAGAAGTTACGCAGTTGCTGGTTGCCTTCCAGGCCAGAGGTTTTAATCCTCTTGATAAATTTTAAACGTATTGTAGTGTTCACAGTTCTCTGTACTATATACGCTTCCTGTTATTATAACGCTTCCTGTTATTATTCCTGTTATTATAAGGCCAATCTTCCACGTTTATTATTCTAAAGTTAAATTAGAGTTTAGTTCTATTTTTTTATATTTTTACGTTAGACCCCAAGTGGCGGGTCTGTGTATTCCGAAGTACGGAAGTTATTGTAAATAGAGAAAATAAAGGGTTTTATATACCCTTCTTGTGTATCCTGTCTACTTCCCACAATTAGTGAACATAGCTTTAGTAAGCTCTCTGTTCCGAGTCAGGTCCTTGCATGTTCCCGAAGAAGGTAAGAAGGAACATTGAACCTGATAGAGTATTCCAAAACAGAGCAGGCTTTGAATTAACAGTGTCTCTAGGAAAGATTTCAGAATCAGAAGATTATTCGTTGTTGCCAGATAAAACTTGTATAATAGTAGTTTCAAAATTAATTTGTTTCCGCTTAATAAATCAATCGCATAATCTGTTCCATGCTATTCTTTTCCCCCATTCAATATGAAACACCCCATACATGCACACACACACATATATATATATATAATTAACCCTCACCACCAAATCATCCCACCAGCGGCCGAGCGGTAAAGACGCTGAACACTGGTATTTCGGTTTGAGATTCGAATCCCGCGAACGAGCTGGCTGCATGGGTGTTTTCGTGGTTTTCCCCATGTGTAACGTGTATACGAGCTAGTTTCCCTTAGAAAGTCCTCCACAAAGGCATCCCTCCCTTTAGGCAGGTAGCTCTCGTGTGCTTTGCCATAATTAAATAATCCAATTCATTCACCACCAAATCAAAAATCTATCTTTTTCTTTTATTACGTCTTCAAATTATGAAAATTTTCTTTTGATTTCCTTAGAGGAATGCTATAACTAAGGCAGGATCTTAAAGTCGACGTTAATTTCTTCCTTCTTTCTGCATGCCTTCGTGATGTAATTGGAAGAATAGTCGATGCGCATTCTAGAGGTTCAGGTTTTAGCGAGGGCATTGTTCATTTTTTATGTCTCCTGCTTAAAAAAATTCTAATGTCTTTACAGTGGCGCCCGAACTAAAAAGGTGGTGGATGATGATTCTTCACCACCAGGATTTGGCGATTGGGTTTTCTAATCCCAGTCGCCCTTTAAAAGGAGGATTATATACGGTATTTTCTCCCACCTTTCTGCATGCCTTTGCGGTGTAACAATTAGCGTACTCGGCGCGTATTCGAGAGATCCAGGTTCGAGTCCCGGCGAGAGCATTGCACATTTTTGACCTATCCTGTATTAAAAATCATAGTGTCTCTACAAGTTTATTAAAAAACGTAATACTTATTTGCCACATCTTCGAGTAACGCATAGAAAGCTTTTATGAAGTAGTTTTGCTCTTATGAAATGGATGGCTTAAGATAAATATAACAAAAATTCAAATTCATGGGAAAAGAACTGCAACACACAGACTTTGGAAAACGTATATTAGCCATAGAAACAAATGAATCTAAAGTAGGGATTATAATGCTGCCTTTAAAATTCTAGAGAAAGAAGAATTTGGCGTCATTTCAAAGTTTGTTCAAAAGTTTTAATTAAAGTTTTGTAGAAATCTCCGAGCTTTTATTTAATTTAAGCTCGAAATGGTTATCCCGCTGACATTAACTTGTAACTACGTAGCACTTAAGAAAAAAGCTTTTCTTATTTTTTTGAAATCCAATTAAATTTTCGGAACGAGATCCATATTCATGAATTGTTTATATACCTTTAAAGTATTTTCGATATTTTATGTTTCGATTCGGTCTGATTTGTTGTTAGTTAAGATGTAATTCACGTGCAAATATTGAATTCTATTCTCATTGAAATCAAATTACTCAACTGCATGAACAGGAATTGTAAGTATCTTGACGGAAACTGAAATTAAGCAGCATTATTTAATAGATTACAGAGATATTCCGAAAATATTATTTCTTTTTAAAATGAGGAAAGGAATAAAAATTTCTTAAAAATTACTTATTCTACTTAGACCTCTAATTTAATAAATGATGCTGTTTTCGTGTTAAAACCATAATTTAGTAGTGCTTGAAATACATTCTACGAAACCAAAATACAAATGGCGAGCGGAGTCTTCAGAATTTTTTTATTTTTATCAGACATTAAGTAGACAATTGATGAATCACCAGAATGTAAAATCTGTTATTTTGAAAACACTTTGACAGAAAAAAAAAAATCTGAAATGTTTCAGATTTTAAATTACGTCCAAAGGGGCGTTTTTTAACATTTTGTGTGTTACCTTTCTTTATTAAATATCATGTTCCTCGCACTTAAACCATAAGATCCAGTGCAACAGCAATATCGCAAAATAGTTTCAAAACGAGCATATCTTTAGAATTTCCGATACAGAGACTCACGCGCTGGAGATAAAAATGTTTTTTCTGCACAACGTTGCCATTGCTCGCTTTGAAATCCTTGAGTTTGTTAATCAAAAATTCGTCAAAGTTTTAAAAATAGGAAATCGATCATAAAAACAAATTTCAAATTTCAAATTTGGTCTTCCACATGCTCATATTCGTTGGAGGATTACGTTATTCAAAATTCGATGACTCTATGTACCGTTGTTTTATCACAATACGAGAAATATACATACATTTATGCAGATTTTTCATTATTTAATTTCTTCAAATATACTGCAGGACTCTAACATTTTGTGGCAACAGTTTAAAAAGTGAACCGACATTTATGAGTCCGACGCAAAATGCCAAAACGAAACTAATAGTCCTTCGGGATTCAAATCCCTTTGGACTAAAAAAAAAATATGTGAAAACTATTTTTAAAAGAATTATTGAAACGAATAATACAGATATGTGCGTTTCCCTGCATATAAGCAAATACAGCAACAAAGCAAACATTCAAGGGGTAATTTCGCTTGAGGGTAGAAATAAAAATAATATTCAGGCTTAAAGGTACTTGAGCCCGTTCGAAGGACGTTTTTCAGAATGCTTGTTATAATTCAGAATTTATGAGTTTTTCTTATTAGAATGCACTCACACTAAAATATAATCACTAGAAAAGAGATAAAATTTCATAATTTTGTGAAATTTGTGCCAAGTATTGAAAATGTTTTATCGGAATTAACGTTTAAGAAATAGCTGTAACTTTTAAATTATATGTGTCTGTTGTACAAATGTTGCATAAATATTTCGAAAACTGGACTACTCGAATAAAAAATATATTAATGCTAAAAAGAAATTTTGAAAAACAAATAAATGATTTATTTTCATGCATAAATATTTTGTGTCTTATATTTAAAAGTAATCAAGTATTGGCTTACGTCAGAAAGATTTTGCTTAATTTTCTTGTTTACCTATCTATCATACTTGTATATCTCATTGCTAAAATTCATTTGTTGATTCTCATGCAGTCTTAGAAACTGAAACTTAGTTAATAAAGACATATGAAGGTTCTGGTGAGCACGCTTTAAAGAAATAATAACAAAATTGAATAAAACAAATTACAACTGCATTCATAACTAATTTCCTCATAGTAGATACTATAATAAATTTTCAAATATTTTGCGTCTTTGCATCAGCAGTTTGAACAAAATAGGCACTGATTGTAGACCAGTGCTAACAGTCAGAATTGAGTGTGTGCAAGACTCCAGAATGTCCTTTTGTTAGATAATGCTTGAATATCTATTGAGAAAAGCAAAAATAAACATTTCTTTGTTAAAATTTTTGAAATCTTCAATCATATATAGTAAATAACAAAATGCCTACCAGCGACTGAGTGGTAAATTCGCTGAACACTTGTAGCTCAGTCCGAGGTTCGAATCACTCGAACGAGCTGGCTGCATGGGCGTTTCCCCATGTGTTCCCCCATGTTTCGTGGTTTTCCCCATGTGTAACGTGTTTTAATACGAGCCAATTTCAATTAGAAAGTCTTCCAGGAAGGCATTCTTCCCTTCCGTGTAGTGCACAAGGGCGAAACAATAAATAATAAATAAATAATAAAATTTTTACTAAAGCAATAAACCATGTTATATATAAAGTATCTAGGTTTTCAAGGCAAATAACTGCAATGCATGCAAACGAAGAGTTTGATACTCTACTATAAATAGGATTCATTGATAGGCTGAGTTGATTTCTGAAAACAAAAAGAATTATGGAACATATATGTTTTGGCATATGCTTTAGGAACATATATGTTTTAGGCATATGTTTTAGGAACATATATGTTTTAGGCATATGTTTTAGGAACATATATATTTTAGGCATATGCTTTAGGAACATATATATTTTAGGCATATGTTTTAGGAACGTATATGTTTTAGGCATATGTTTTAGGAACATATATATTTTAGGCATATGTTTTAGGAACATATATGTTTTAGACATATGTTTTAGGAACATACATGTTTTAGGCATATGTTTTAGGAACATATATATTTTAGGCATATGTTTTAGGAACTTATATGTTTTAGGCATATGTTTTAGGAACTTATATGTTTTAGGGATATGTTTTAGGAACATATATGTTTTAGGCATATGTTTTAAGAATATATATGTTTTAGGCATATGTTTTAAGAATATATATGTTTTAGGCATATCTTTTAAGAATATATATGTTTTAGGCATATGTTTTAGGAATATATATGTTTTAGGCATATATGTTCAAAAAATGAACATATACGAAAAAAAGATCATTCGTAACTCAGATGTATTTGTACACGTACATTTGTGCTAAATGGTTTTAAAAATTGCTTTAAATCAGCTCTGAAATGGTTGACACAAGATTTATATATTTCTTCAAAAATACAAACAGCTTCAAATATTTGTGGCTTTAATGCCTCTAAAATATTAACCATAGTTTATAAGATTCTTAAGTTCGTCTGTTTCTTTCCAAAACATTATTTTGATTCCAGATGTAATTTGTTAGCATTAGACAAAGATGGTCTGTCCTGAAATAAAAGAGTACTATTTAGTTGATTGCTGTTCTTGTTACATTTTTGATATGGCATTTCACATATTGTTGCCAGTATCCTTTATCGTTTCAGAGAAAATAAAACGGAAGAAAAAAATTATCTAAGACATTCTTCGAAATTGAAAAATTCAGCTATGTGGTGCAGGCAGCAAAAGATTTATATGAAGTTCGACTTCGGTATTCCACCGTAACAGTTCGAAGATTATAAATTGTGGTCTTAATTCGATGAGATGGTTAATCTTTGTCGAACGTGATTAACACTGTACAAATTTTGCTGTGTATACTATACTTTGAAAATTGAATTCATTGTAAAGATCAACATTATGTAGGTATCTATATATTTTTCTTTCATGTCAATAAATATGTGCTGAAATCTACAAGTTCATGAGAAAACGACTTCGGAACATGATGAAATCTTTGTTTTGAACAAAATTATCTCTTTGGCTACCGCAGCATGTATCGAATTCAGAACTCCCATAGTGTTTCCAAATCTTCATCATGAAGGCAGAGGGCTTTCTAAGATCCACTTGATTCTTAGAGACGATATAAATAAATAACATAGTAAACGAAAATGTTCAGCAAAAACGACATTTTGGCCATCTAGTAATTCCGCCATCCTCAGTAGCAGTTATTCATTCAGTCATAACGTCTAGCTCGTGGATAGCAGCAAAGTGAATCGCTGCAAAAAATTAAACTGTAAATTATTCTTTCATAGAAATGTATGAAAGATGTATGAAAATTCGCAACATATATGTAAGAAAAATAAAGAATATGTACAGAGGCTGTTCACGCATTTTTAGATGATGTATATTGTATTCACAAAAACTAAATTACATAAAATTCTTGTGTTTTAAATGTTCTATTTGACATCCCTTATTCTGAACTATCTTTTGACACCGCAATTTCCAGGATAATAATGCCTTTTAAAGTGGCAGAAGAGGTATTCTATCCCATTCCTCCCGAACATCTTTCCAGAGTCCTGTTAGGGTTTTGGGACAACGTTTGCATAATGCAGTTTTTAAAAGTCCGAAAGCATAAAAAATCCAAAGGTGACTCTTCAGGAGATTTAGCAGGGATATCAGTGAAGGGTTATAACCTTGATACCAGTTTTCTGTTACATTTCTTTTGGGAAATTTGCAGTGGATTTTGATGTGCGACTTGTCCTGATGGAGTCTCACAGATTGATGGCAGCGATAGTATTTCATTCAGGAATATTGGCGATAAAATATGTTTCTGATAGTATTTGGAGTTAATCTTGACATTTTTTTGCACTCTCTTTATTTTTAACTTGCCATTATAAGAAATACCAGCAACAATCATGAATCCCTTAGAAAAACTTTCTTTCGATTCTTTGAACCATGTACTTACATTTTTTCTCCCCCTTTATGATAATAAATGGCTCTTTTTGTTACAATCACTTAAGTACGCCCGTGCTTCATCTATTGTAACAAATTGTTTTCCATTTTTTTTTGGATTAGTGTTTCTCATATAGAATTCTGCAGTGTGTCCTGCGTTGAGCGATATGCTTTGGAAGAAGACGATGCATATTGCGTTTTTTCGCTTTCTTAAGATTTCAATCAACGTTTATCATTTTGTTTACAGTGGAAACCGAGCATTTTAATGATTTTGCAACTGTCTTTTGACTAGGGGGATTTCTTTTAACATTAAACAACGTACCTTTGCAATAGTCGGAGATGTCCGTTTTTTTCCTTGGATACTTGTTTGGAATTTTTGTCCCAGTTGAGGCTCCAATTTGACGTTTTTTCCCTTTCTTGTTGATGATATTACCTATCGACGCTTTAGATGTCACAAAACCATGACTCTCACATCGTTTCTGGATAACGTAGTATGCATATTTCTCTTCGGAAAGAGCGTAAATGTAGCCTTCGAACCACTGCTTTGTTAAATTCGCCATTTTGAATAAAAACAAAACTTTTAAGTCAAAGACGATAACTTTGACTTTTAAAAACACAGTGCAATTGCAATTATTTCTTTTGCAGCAAAAGATTTTTTATTACCGCTTACCAAAGTCGTCTAAAAATGTGCGAACAGCCTCTGTAAAAGATTAAACTAGCAGCATAAATTAATGTCCCTTCTCTATTCTAAAAATAGCAACATCTATTTGCAGTGCGTCATTTCGAAAAGAAATTATGTCATATGACTCTTACGTAATTCTGGTGACGTGAAGTGAACTAAAACTCAAACAGCCAATAATAATTTTATAGCAATATTAACTATCCAATCAAAATGCTTTGAGACCCAAAACTAACTCAATTTGACTTAAGATTTCATCCTGAACATTACGCACTTTCTTTCTACGCTTTGCCTTAGCTGGACTGCAGTCTGTCTGCTTTTTTTTTCTGCAAATCTATCAAAAATGTAAGCCTTTTGGAACAGGCACATTTAATGTGCCGACTTTTGTGTAGCCGCAACATGTTGCTGAAAATAAAACTGAAGATTTAATCTGCCTTCGCCTACGATTTCTAGTCATTATGGATCAACACTTCTACGCCATCAAAATTTCTGCTCCTGAATATATTACATATATATCATAATTTATTTACTAAAAGGTATTGATTAATTGATTATATTATCTCCTAAGTTTAATTATACTAAAATTATCTTAAAAGTGTGAATGCATACTAGTAAAGTTATATTTTGAAAGATTTTTTGAAGTAACTTGAAAGTTAATTGTTAAAAATGTTTTAACGGGCACTGGAATTAAGTCATGAATAAAAAGATTTCAATTGTAAAAGGAATAAATTAAAGGCAAGAATTAAATTAAATGCACTTAATCATTGTCATTGATCGGAAATTAGAGAACTTTTTAAGGGGAACAAACCAACTCCCGTTCAATGAACAATAATTAATAAATAAATACGAAGGTGTTTCGTCTTTACTCGAGCAATGAAGCTATCCAAACTGGCAATTCAAGTCAGGCCAAATACCCGTGTCTCCGTGATTAGAAAGGATTATGAGCCAATGTTGATATTCAAAGAACTCATTCCTATTAAGCATTTTAGCCAATTCAATTTTGAGTGTAAAGTAATTTCTGCAGTAAATTTCTATAAAGCTCGAGTAACCGTCCCCCGACACCCTCGTGTTTATGCATTTTAGTTCAATATTATTTGTAAAATTAAACATTGGGAATAAAAATTTAGTGAATTATAGAAATTTACTGCAGAAATTACTTTACACTCAAAATTGAATTGGCTAAAATGCTTAATAGGAATAAGTTCTTTGAATATCAGCATTGGCTCATAATCCCTTCTACTCACGGAGATATTTGGCCTGACTTGAATTGCCCGTTTGGCTTAGCCTCATTACTTGAGTAAAGACGAAACACCTTCGTATTTATTTATTAATTATTATTCATTGAATGGGAGTTGGTTTGTTTCCCTTGAAAAGTCAACTAATTTCCGATCAATGACAATGATTACATGCATTTAATTTAATTCTTGCCTTTTATTTTATTCTTTTTACAATTGATATTTTGTTATTCATGATTTAATTCCAGTCCGCGTTAAAAAAAATTTTAACATTTTACTTTCAAGTTACTTCAAAACATCCTTCAAAATATCTTACTAGTATGGATTCACTCTTTTAAGATAATACTACTATAATTAAACTTAGGAGATAATATAATCAATTAATCAATATTTTTTAGTAAATAAATTATTATTAACTTACTTTGCAGCAATTGCGCAAGTAGTAGTAACTTGTTTTCGCACTAAATTAATTTAAGATCATACAACATATATATCATAGATATTTAACTTTTATATCTATGCTATATATATTGCGAATTTGATATTATATATAGGGCATAGATATTTAACTTTTAATACTGTAATTAAGAAAAATTGATGGGAAATATAGCTGAGAAACAATATAAGCTCACGATTTTAATGCTATTAATTCTTTATTGAGGGAGAACGCTAACTTACGCTTAAGAAGAAATATAATAATGTAATAAAATAATGATTAAAATACAATTGTTCTTGTTTCAGCACGAAATAAAACTTAGCCATCTTTGGAAATGCTAAGAGGCTTGAGTGGTAAGACCTTTAGTACTGGTAGTTTGAGCCAGATTTGAATCTAGTTGAATGTGATTGCGTGTTCAATTTTACACATGTCTATCGTGAATTCGGGCTAGTTTTCCTTAGAAAGTACTCCACGAAGACATCCTTTTCCTTAGGCAAATAACTCTTCGGGTACTTTGTCGCATTGAAATTTCTAAATTTATCATACATTTTAGTTCTAAACTAAGAAAATAAATCACAGCAGGACACAGTTTAAGTAAATATTAAGTTGCAGGACAAGCGCAGGATTAGGAAAAATTCATTGAAGCATCATCTGTTTCAGAAAAAAAATTCTGATACTTTTCAGTATAGAAACAAAATACTTCTATTCTAATTAAGAATTAATATTACAAAAAATGGTGAATTTCATATATCGGAACTTCAAAAGAAATTTTTTAATTCTCTATCATACTACACTGATTAACTAACTTTGTTAAATCTTCAATTTGAAATAATTTTTTTTCTGGATATCATTTCTAAAAATTTGTCTTCATTAATAAGAGTATTAAGAAATTTGTAGAGATTATTAATAAAAGGAAGATTTCAGTTTTCAGTGAAATATAAAATACTGAAAAAAATTTTCCTTCATTTCGCTTCTTAATTTTCATTTAAATTTAATAATTTTATTCTTACTTTTAAGTTTAAGCGTTGTTCTGTATGACCACTATAATTTTTGCTTTCCCACTATAATTTTAAACACAAACTCAAAAGTAAAAACAAAAGTTAAAAATTCTTTAATATTAAAAAATTCAAAAATTTTTAAATTCAAAATCAAAAGAACATCAAAATTATGTATAACGCAAAGTAAAATAAATATATGAAGATACCGAAGGAGATTATCTTGACATACACAAATTTACAATCTCAACAATATTACATTACGTGATAAAAGAAGACCTTTGAACTTGAAAACAATTAAACTAATTAATTGGAAATCTAATACTTACAGAAAAATTATTGATACCACTATTATTATTAAAAAAGAATAAAAATACTTTAATAATAGCAACGATTTTATTAGAGAGCTCCGTTTATTAATTAAAATGCTAAGAGATTACTAAATTCGACATAATTTCATCAAAAAATATTTAGCTAATTATAGTTGTAATCTAAATTTATTTTCTCTATTAATCTCTTGTTTTTATATAGACCTATACCTAAACCATTATGGTGGTATAGTTTGCATGTTCTTAACCAAAATGAATTATAATTTAGCCTAATTATGAATAAACTATAATCTGTCTAATAATTATCTACATTAAGACACAATAACACGCCGAACAAATACTAATCCAGAAGTCAAACAACAAAAATCAGCGTTATATTTACAAAATTTTCACAGGACTAGTTTCGATGGTTTTACCGAACCACCCTCCTCAGCTGCAAAACCGCAAATGAACAAATAGGAAATTATTTCCTATTCCTTAATAAAATGGGCATACTTCAGTGTGCAAGTCTCAGGAAAGCACACTTGAATGAATTTTATATCCTGTAAATTTTGACAACTTTTTTCGTTTTCTGCCTTTATTCTGTTTTAGATTATCTGTTACTTATAACATTGTTGCTAAATTCTTATTTCAAATATGCTAGGATTTCTCTCAACTTTGCTCTTAGTTTATTTCCACTGCCTTGATTTTATTACAATTATTATCACTACAACTTATTTCATTCTTTGAACTGAAGCGAACGAATATTTCAATTAAATTTTTCCGGATACTATTGGATTTCTTGTAAGATTTATAATCCAGGAAATTCAATATTTTACCTTTTTCAAATTATTCATTTTCTCCGCATCCTATTTAATGTTACAATATAATTTTTTCTAACTTCTTATTAATTTTAATTAGTTTGAAATTCGTAGTTTAAGTAAATTCATTGTTTAGCACATTTTAGACTTCAGGACAATATTTTGTTACTAAACAGGAGGAATATATTTTTCATTCGTTTGTTGCTCTGTTGTTACAGATTTTAAAAACTAACTCTTCTTTGTATTTAAAAATAATTTTTACTATTTATTTTATATTTTTTGAACGAAAATTTCATTTATTATTTTTATATGCTGGATTGCATCTGTTTTACATATATTTTGGAACTGCCCCATTAAATTGAAAATTATTACATTTGTATGTTTTTTTTGGCTTGTTTATGATTGTGATGCTATATTTTTAAAAAACATTTTATCCGGTCTGTATGCCTTAAAAATGTACATACGTTTTTGTTTTGTCATATATCAGATTTACATATTACATTTACATGTTTTATTTTTTGGTCTCGTGCTGGAACTAATAATGATTTTTTAAATTTTGCTTATATTTTTGATGCTATAATTTTGCAATTTTTAAATTAGTACTTACTTCGACCTGTAGGATGTGTACCGATTAAAAGCAAAGATTACTTCTATTATTTTACTGATACCATTTGAAATTTTAAACTAAAATTGTGTTTCTGTTGCTTCAGAAACAGATGGATTTATTGACTTCTTTCATTGTACCAACCTCCTAGTGACGATGCAACGAAAGATGTAAATTTTTTATTTAATTTTTGTTCTGCCATGTTTTGCATCTTTTTTGTTGCAGTTTGTTTAATGAATTTTAAACGTTTCATTCAATTATCTTCCTCAGCTGCCAGAGTGTAAAATGAAGTGCTCCCTCATTTGCACTTTGGCAGCTGAGGAAGCTTGTTTGGTAGTTAAACCACCGGAACTGGTCCTGGAAAATTTGCAAATATAACTCCGATTTTTGTTGTTTGACTTCTAAAATAATACACATTACTTTATATGTTTTTCTGAGGTGTATATTTGTAACATTATATATTTAGATATAATATTTTGTGCATAGTTTCTAATTAAACAGAATTTACAAAGAATACATAAACAAATTACATGTAAATTTCATAATGGAAACAAAAGTGCATAATTGTCATCAAGTGGTTGAAGGACAATGGGACATCATCCTCAAGCTACCTTATATATTCTGACTCTCTTTCTTTCCTTCACTTTTTGAACAGTATTGCCAGCAGCAACAAACTAATAATTGAAATTCTGTTAGCTCTTTGTTTTCTTAGAAATAGAGAAACTGTTGTCCGTTTTGCTGAAGTGAGTGGTCACCGTGGATTCTATGGAAATGAATAGGAAGCTTTTATCTAAGTTCAATGAAGAGTATATTTCGTCTTATAAGGTCAAGGACCTCAAAGGTTCTTTCCCTTTTTGCTTGCTGCTTGCGATTTTCAAATGGATACAATCTCAGCAGAAGTTGTAAAACTTGGACATAATTTAAGTTTTGTCTCTTCGGGGGACAACCAGTGTCATGGAATATGTTCAAACGGAATCCAGATTCTTGATGACGAACCTTTCATCAATATAGAAGAAGGATGGGATGAAGAAAAAAAATGACATTTGAGAAAATGTTGCAAACGGAGGGGGAATCTTCACATTCAGTAATATCGAAGAACTATTTAACGTCACTGGAAGAGCATCTGAACTGATTGAAGAAAATGATCCGAATACATAAAGGAGCCTTGAAGCCAGGCAAAAATTAGCCGCTACATTTTTTAGTTATCGCATGATGAATAAAGAAAACAAAATGTGAGAAAAAACTGTGACTGATTTTTCAGGTTAAAAGGTAATGTCTCCTTTTTGATTTTGTAAACAGACAATAAAAATCTTCTCTTACGTATTTTACCTTTTAATCTTTTATTGTTTTTCATTAGGTAATACGTAAATATTTTTGTTTCAATAAAATTTGATAGGAACTAATTACTAATTTTCCCATAGAAATAATGTTTCACTCAGCGCGGATTCACTTAGCGCGATACTTTAGAATAACCAATTAGCGGTACTAAGCAAGGTATTTCTGTATATTATAAGTTAAAATTAATTTTATAATAAACCTTATTAATTTAACTCCTCTCCTTATATTAATCCCTAGAGGTATTTCACTATAAGTTATAATTAATTTTACAATAAACCTTATTAATTTTACCCCTCTCCTTATATATCTCCTTTATCCTCTGAGCTTATTAATTTAACCCCCCTTATTAATTTGATTCCTCTTTCAAAAGGAAGCTTCAAAGGAAGACATTTTACCTGTAAATGTAAGTATCACTTCAGACAAAAGAACTTATTAATCAGTTTCTAGTTGGACTTGAATTTCTTTGTTTCACTGATGGCTTCATTATTGTTATGCTTAGAAACATCTCCTTCAAGCTGTTTCTTTTCAAAATCCTTTTTTAATTGAGATCCTTTTGGTTGAAAGGAATGTGTATAAAAATTGTAGAACAGGATGAGAAATAATACTGCTAATACAGTGTTGACCCATACACTGGTTTTGGCTGCAGAACACCCTGAGAGGGGTGTTATTGTTGTCACAAATAGTATGACCAGGATGAACTGTACCTATAATTAGAAGAAATAAAACGTTAAATAAATTATAGATGGAAGTTGATCTAATATTTGAGCAAAAATATGTTCGTATATCATTAAAAGTACTGAGCTTAAAATAAAGCGTTGTAATTAAATATTAGTTCCTCGAAAATATACACTCTGAGCCTCTTGAAAGTAAAAGAACTCCCTATTAAACACATCCCAAAACGATTAATATGTAAATTAGTTCGTCTCTACAGAAATGCACGGTGCTTATCTACTGCTAGTACTGCTAACCTTAGCAAATAATTATGGCCTAAGCGCTCACCTGATGACGTATAATTAACTGAGAGAGACGTTTCATTACAATCTCTAAGGAAAAGACTTGAGCGTACAGACGAATTTCACGGGATGAAAGTCACCACTAAGTGCAACAAGGATTCCATAACTGTCATGAGCAAGTGGTACAAGCATCGTAGCTTCTTGTAAGGATCATGGGATACTGAGAATTACCAAAAGCATAACGTGAAGTTTGATACTTATTATTCTGAGTTAAATATTCCAAGTGTATTCGACGTGCATAAGTCACTGACCACTGCAAAAAATGCTAAAAAAATGGATTCCATTGCCAGCGTTTTTCAGTGTTTACTCCTAAATCACGAGTTTTGGTAACACTGACGCCTCGACCTTGAATCGTGAATACATCAAAATGGATTCAATGTTGAATCACATTGTTTCACATACTTCAGGTAATCAGATAATTCATGCATAGTGAAGGCCAGAAGAAATTATTAGCTCACGTCATTATGAAGTACTGTACGTCTATCACTCTATTTGCGTTTCCGTGTGCTGTTATTTTTGAGAATCTTCCGTGATTCTTGGCAGCACTTTAACTCACTAATGATATGTTGATAACATTCATCGATCTATTTATTGTACTATAAACGGTATGTTGTAATGATGATAGAATGTTTGTAATTATGATGTTACAAATGGTTTCATCATGCCCTCCATAACCATCATGAAGGCAGCAGCAAAACATAGGATCATAATTTCTGGAGAGGATTGTGCGAGAGTTAAATCCGCCATGTACACTAACAGTTTCGTTAATCGGTTACCTTCAGTGATCCTTTGCAGCATTTTAACACACTGAAGATATTTCGATAACATCCATCGATCTATTATATCGTAAACGGAATGTGGTAACCATGAAGAATATTTTCAACCATGATGTTACAAATGAATTCATCATGCACTCCATGATCATCATAAAGGCAGCAGGAGAATTAGGATCATAATTTCTTAAGAAAATTGCGAGGCAGGTAAAATTACCATGAATACAATAACAGCTCCGAAACTGACCATACAGAATCGGTTATCTTCAATAATTCTTCGCAGCACTTTAACACATTGAAGATATGTTGATAACATCCATCGATCTATTTTATTGTAAACGGACTGTTGTAACCATGAAGAATATTTACAACCATAATGTTGCAAATGGTTTCATCATGCCATCCATAATCACCATGAAGGCAGCAGCAGGACATAGGATCATACTTTCTTAAGAGGATTGTTGCATGACTAAATCTACCATGGCTAAATCTATCGCTTTAAAAATTTGTCATTGAAATTCCGATACTCACGATAAAAATCTCTTATACTCTAAGCGTGCAAGGGTACAACATTTCAGAAACTAAACTTTGGTGAATATTTATGTGATGTTTACCTTTAGCTGCTGGACTACGGTAACAATCTGCAGAACGTGATGTTCTGTAATTTCAGCCAGAATGGTGATTTGTTTCTTTTACATTCTAAGTAATTTAAAAGCTGGTTAGAAATCAGAACTACGAAAATATTTATCGATGGAAATAATAAATGTGAATAATTAATGTGTAATAATTAAATATTAAAATAAAACTGAGCTACTTATTGCAGCCAATCATGGAAGTAATTGATAAGATTATAGAGATAAACACATTCCTGTCATACATTGCTGATGTGATGAAAAGGTGTTCAACTATGAATTTCGACTTTAGAAAAGGGTTTCGTTAACTTTTCAACGATTAATCTGTAGAGATATTAGATTATTTAGAAGCAGGAGATGTAAAAATTGAGCAATGCCGTAGCCGGGACTCGAACCACGGACCTCTCGAATACGTGCCGAGCGTGCTGACCACTACACCACGAAAGCATGCTAGTTCCCATTTTCATTTCTCAAATAAAGAATAGTGATCGATAATACATCACTAACTTAAAATGGGCAACTGGCAGTAGTAAGATCTGTGTTGTATCAGTTTCTACGTTAGCATTTCTGCGTTGCCTTTACGTGGGACTAATATAGGGCTGGGGTGATGTAAGGAGTTAAAAGTTATTGGTGCTTTGTTGCAATGGTCAGGACATTGGTGAAATAATATGAATGTCCCAAATTTGACTCCAGATTATTGTTAGTGCAGCTAGAGTTTCAAAATTCCTTGCTCTAAATTCATCGTTCTTTCACAAGAGATTTTATATTTAGTGGTGGCTAACCCTATATGATCTATGGCAAAAGCTAATCCATTTAGCCAATCAGCTTCCAAAAGGTAATTGGTAATTTAGAAAATTTAAAGTGGTTTAAAAAAGGTTGTAGATTCATTATATTTTCTTTTTCGAATTTAAGAAACTGAAGAAATCCACAATATTCTCGCTGGGGTTCGAACCTCCCGATTATGTGTCGAGCGTACTTCTAGTTACAACCGCGAAGGCATACGGAAAGGAGAGAGGAAATGCTTCAAAAGGTAATTAAAATTTATCCATAGTAAAAAAAAAAAAAAAAAAAAAAAACTTAATCTTTGGATTATGGTAACTTGACGATAAATTTTTTGGCAAACATTTGGCGACCAACCCTGCTACAGCAACCTGCTAGTTTTTTTTTTTGAACGCAATTTTGTCCATTTTGTTTTCACGAAGTAAAGGTAATTTTTTTTTTTTTTTTCTACTCAACATTTTTTTCCCAACAATCTGCTAGCCGAATTACGCTTATGCTAGAACTTTTATGGAACAAAAGTGCTTAATCATGACGAAGATTAGGTGCGAAATTGGGAGAAAGTGCAGAATCGGCCACTGCTTGCCGCGTTTTAAAGAATTGCACATACACGGTATGCATATTTCACAAGTGCACATCTGTGTAGCTACCAAAGGAGTGGCTTCTAGGATGAACCAATGAGCATCCAGTAATATTTCTGTCATGTCACATGACGTTTCGCGTGCTTTAAGATTTAAGCAAAAGGGTTGAAAATACTCTGACACGCAATTTTATGTACAAAATAATTAAAGCATCGTCGATTGCTTCTGAAACTTGTCATTGCGAAGTCAAATCAATTATAGGAAATTTTGAAGATTTTACTACTTGGCTGAAATAAATACACATGTTGGATACTTCGCAAAAATATCGATATGAAATATTACTTAATAATATGTGGTAAATAAGTTGAGGAAAGAAATATGTGATAAACATCTGAGCCCAAATGCAATCTTTACATAAAATTATGCGTATGAGAAAAATATTTACACCAATTATATATGTAAATAGAAGTCAGCACTTTTTATTGCAGTCTATATGAAAAAGATATTCTATAATAATAACTAATGCAGAAATTTATTCAAAGTGAACTTTACTAATTTGCATTCGAATACATTTAGTGTGTTAAATTTCACATTTAATAACTGCTCACTCTTAAACTGTACTGTCTACACAAGAAATACGCATGGAACAGAGTGAATTTATTGTGTTCACAACGAGTATATTCAATTTATTCACATATAATGTTTAATGTTAATATGGATATAATCAGATCATATATATATTCTGAATCTCACCCTTTAAAATCAAAAGAATACAAGCACTGAAAAAGAAATTCATTGTAATACTTTCATTCATTCTCAGCTCAATTAAAAAAAAACACACACTTGAGTTCTCTTAATCCACATAATATGCCCAATCCTAACATTAATACATGACAAAAATAGCGAAAGTGAAATATCAGCGATTAATCAAACTCAGAAAACGAAAGCACTACGAGGCCCATATATTTATAACTGTGAAACAAATGCAAATTAAACGTAAACAACATACGCTCACATGCACGAAGATTTAGCGTCACAAGAGTAATAACAGCTCATTGGTCCATTTTCAAAACTCCTCCCTCAGTGGCTAGGCTGATGTGCACTTGTGAAATATGCACACGGTATCCATGTACATGTCGACCTATTTTCACTTAAAAAAATATCTCATAATTGCACAAATATGACATTGCGCACACTTTTGACTTTATCCATGTACACTGCTAAAGTCCTAGCTAGTAATCTTTATCGCCTTACCAAAATGTCGCCAAACTACCTGTTACCATATTCCAAAGATTAGCCAATAAAACTATAACACTGATCATATATATCAAATCTAAAAACCATTCTTATCACAGGTTTTATAAATAATTTTAAAAGAAACTTTGTACAAGTCTGCGCAGTGGCTTAATACCACTTAAAATAATTTTTTCCACTAATGGCCTTTCATAAAATGTCATCTAGTATTTGTAATTCAGTTGCAGAATTTATATCTCAAGAAAAAACAATTTCAAAATACTAAATGGAAATAAAAGCAACTGTATAAATAATCAAACTTACATAAGCACATTCGGTATTGAACTAGTAGATGCTGAAATAAAAGTAATAAATAAAGCTTTCCGAAAACAAATCGTATTAATTTATCCTTTACTGCATCAAACATTTGCTAAATATTTTGTTCGTTTCTTTGGCTAATTTGCATATACTTTTGAAATGTCAATTGCCATTAAAATAGCGATTTTTGAGTTTTGATTTTTTATGATTACCAACGGATTTTGTTTCTAATTCCGGTGAAAATATGTTTTTATTTCATTTAGAAAAATTACAGCTGTTATAGTACTATTGAGTTATTTTAGAAATGGCTGTTCAGAGAAAAATGTAGTTACATGCCTGTTTCTTTAAATTTTGATTTCAGATTAGAATTTATACCTAAATAATTTTTGTAAATGAAACATTCACTTAAATTTCAAATTACAATTGACAACTTAATTTTGTTGCTGTTCCGATTTAAAACTTATATCTTATATCTTGTTCCGATTTAAAACTTATATCTTGTTGCGATTTAACTTTAACCCGCAAAATATAAGCATACAAATTTTTCGTTTCGTTATAATATAAATAATTTAAGTGTCTTAATTAAATATTGCACATAATTACATGCACTTTCCCTTTACAAATTGCATAGAACAATATTTTTAAGTTGAACTTTATCTAATCGACAGTATTTCTGTCTTACCATCTGAATAATTCGTGAGATATTAGAATGTTCATACCATCTGAATAATCGTGAGATACCGTTTCCACCATAAATATTTCTGCACATGAGGTCCTATGGCAGCCAGGCCGTAGTAACTGTACATCAAAACGTGAACGATGGAATTGAGGAGAACTGGAAAACTCTGAAAACCGCCTGAAAAAAATGGCATTACATTTTAAATGTGATCCACCTAAGAAGACTGTTATAATTTATTTAATTATTCTTCAAACTATTATTATAAAAATATAACCCAGAAAAAAAAAGATATTTTAAAATTTATGTATTTTTAGTAACATTTTCTAGTTGAATAAAAATAACTTTATGCGGATATGTGCCACATACTACCTTTTTTTCATCAGATTTGATTGATTTACGATTGAAGAATATTTAACAACTGTTGTAGTTCACACGCTTTATATAAACTGAAAAACACTTTATTGTATAAAACTGAATAATTGACCAAGGGGTTAAAGACTCATCACAAAAGATAGTTTTTAACAATTTTAAAATTTTATCGAAATTTCTAAAAGAAGCCATAAAACTGATTAACTTTTTATAACGAAAACAGTGGCTCTGTATCTACTATCAATTCCGTTAATCTTTAAAAATTTATAAAAATCAGAGATCAATCTTTGACCATATAAAATCCAATGTTTATGAGCTATAAATAGTTCTTTTATACAGTTCAATACTTTATTTAAATGTTGCAGATGTGTCCTGTATATGTATATCAAGCTCAGAAATCACAGCTGTTTCAGTAGTTTTTCATTTGATGTAATATTTCTCTCTAATATACTTTTATTATACTTCTGACAGTAATTTTCGTTTCCTCTTACGAATGATCCAATTGGCGATGATGTGCCTGGCATACTGTATGCTATTATTACGCTTAATGCAAGCATAGCACCACTCCCTATTTCGAATAATTTTGAAATTGAATCGATAGAAACAAAATTACTTTCTTTAAACTGGGTATTTCTATTATTTTGGACAATTCTTGCATTTAAATAGATGCACAGCGTTACAGGAACTAAAAAGAAGTCGCCTTTCTAATTCAAAAATTTCTTTTTATGGAACATCAAATCTAAAAACCATTCTTATCACAGTTTTTATGAATAATTTTAAAAGAAACTTTGTACAAGTCTGCGCAGTGGCTTAATACCACTCAAAATAATTTTTTCCACTAATGTTTATAGTTAAATGTTATTTATACTCATATATAAAAATTTAATGCATACTAATGTGTGTTATAATAATTACTTGTTTCTGTTCTGAAGAGAACCCATCCACAAATTGGAAGAATAGCGTGGTGTATCACATGGAGGTTCGTAATCGACTTGTCTTTTTTCCTCAATACGAAAAAGATCTGGAAGAATTAAAATTATTACAAAATATACTGAGCAATAATACACATATTGGGGTAAACCGAGTCAGTATGTTAAAATTATATTTTTCCAATATAAATCTAATAATAGAATATATTAGAATTATAGATAATTTTTCCAAGAAATGTGCATGACATAAAAGCATTACTTTACTGAATTCAATAAAGTTCATTTAATAAAACAAGGGGTCCTTGACACTTAGCCGACAACCCTTTAGCCGAGACATTTGGCCAACAGAACATTTAGCCTACAAGTACATTTAGCCGAAACGGGCATTTAATCGACAGGACAGGTGACATGTGAGAGCAGGGTCCGGACATCCGGGCTGCTTTCAGTGACCATTCGGTTATCCTCCGAATGTTGCAACTCTCTAGAAAAAAAATATTGCAAACAGGGGTTTTATGCTTGGGTTTTAAAAGGCAATGTGTTACGTTTCCAATCAATCGGTTAGGTTATGTAATTACGGCAAAGCCTCGAAGGCTATCTGCCTAAGAGGAGGGATGCCTTCGTGGAGGACTTTCTGAGGGAAACTGGCTCGTATACATGTTACACATGGGGAAAACCACGAAAACACCCATGAAGCCAGCCCGTTCGCGGGATTCGAACCTCGGACCGAACTACCAGTGTTCAGCGACTTTACCGCTCGGCCGCTGGTGGGCCCAATCAATCGGATTGAAAGTTTATGTGCAATGTCTCCTTCTTTAGTTGAGCGTGCATTACTGGTCAAATTCTTTTACCAGGATCTGGAAGACCGAGGAGCACAAATGCGAGGCGAGATAGGTTGACTGTTCGCCAGGTCCAGACTGCCCCAACGATATCTTTGTCGAATATTTAATGCACTACAGCCACGTGTATACCTCCCGTAGTACCGTCCACCATCTCACGGCGCTCGTCTGAGGCGGGGTTACGCTCACAAAGTCCTTTAAGACGTTTGCCTTTGACTCCACAACATCGGCGGAGTCGTCTGGAATGGTGTCGCAACCAATAATCATGGCTGCCATCAGACTGGCATCGCGTAGTGTTCAGCGATGAATTCCGCTTCACTCTTGAAGCAGATGAACATCGTGTTTGTGTCTGGAGAGGAGGGGGCCAGCGGTCCCAATCAGCCTTTGTTTTACAAAGGCATACAGCCATAACCCCTCGTGTGATGGTGTGGGGTGCTATTTCGTATGACAACAGGTTATCTTTAGTCATCCTCCGTACATCTTCAACAGCTCAACGATATGTTGATACCATCCTGGAGTCGGTTACATTACCCTTCATGGCACGTCATCCTGGGGTCATTTTCCAACAAGATAATGCCAGGCCATATACCGCTCGCATATCTATGCACTGTTTCCGTGCGGTTGATAGTCTTCCTTGGCCAGCAAGGTCACCAGACCGTTCGCCAATCGAGCATGTCTGGGACATGGTAGGCCTAAAGATTCGGGCATCACAAAATATCGCAGATCTGGTGCGACAACTGATGAATGCCTGGCAGAATGTGTCTCAAGATGACATTAGGAACCTCTACCACTCCTTGCCGCATGCATTGCCGCCAGAGGCGGTTCGACCATTGAATACTCAATGGGTGAATGCGAGTCGTGAACAGGTACTATGACCTTCATTTTTTAATCATTTTATTATTTGTGTAGGAACATTACACATATGTATAAAAACAACCACTTCCTTCATTGTGCTTCTATTTTTTTTTTTTTTTGTGCAAAAGAGTGTATAATTCAGAAAGCGAACATGCTTTGTAATTGTGACAGTATCTCTAACCAAGCGTTCAGCAATTTTGATTCGGGATATGCTCCCTAAGAAATACACTGCTGGCCACCCATATTGCAAGACCAAGAAAGACAAGAGATATCACAACAGAATTTATTTAGTAGATAACATGTAGACCAAGTATCGAATGATTAAATTTGTAGACTTCTGTGAAGTGTTATTAATTTCAGAATCAGTAACCAGAGTACCAGCCAATTGTTGGAGATCACCGTTGCCACACGCCTCGGCATTCATTCAAGAGACTTTGGATGTGTTCTTGGGGTACAGCAGACTAAGTAGTTTCCACAGGTGCCAGGTGACAGCTAAACACGCGGACTAAACACGCTAAAATACGCGGACTAAACACTAAACTAGTGCTAAACACGCGGACGGCTTTCTAAGACTACTCGGGCGTTGTCTGAACCCTGTAACTATCCTTTGGCAAAGTTGATCTGGTGTGGCAGATTGGGATGTAATTTGGGCCAATCGTTCAGCAACCATGGACCACATGTTTTCTAGCGGCGAAAGTTCCGGAAAGCGAGCCGGCCAGGGAAGCTATTCAATCTGGCGATTGACGAAGAACCCTTGGACAATGCGTGCCACGTGTGGTTGCGCATTATCCTGTTGAAATATGGCTGTGGGCAAGCCCTGAAGGTAAGGAAGGACAAGGGGCTTCAACGCCTCGGAGATGTAGCGATGGCTGTTTAAAGTACCGGCAATGCATACTAGAGGAGTGCGAGAGTGATATCTAATACTGTCCCATACCATAATACTCGGTGCAGGACCAGTGTGGCGGTGCATAACATAGCTGTTCAGTATCCTCTCTCCGCGGTGTCTCCAGACTCGAATCCGACCATCGTGGTAGGATTGCTAGAAACTCCCAACCTGCCTGATCACAAAGTTATCTTATGGTCCAAGGTCCAAAAAGGGGCGTCTCATTCACACCACAAGCGAAGGCAGCCAGCGACCCAGAGAGCCCCAAACAAAAGTTAAAACGCCAGATTAATAAAAAAGAACAACTAATCCAAGATATTATACACGAAGCAACTTTAACATTTAACTTATAATTCAAATTTCCAAGAAACCAAGCCCGGTATTACGAGTAACTAAAAATGTTAGTATAATCAACTAAAGAAAATAATAATTATACATCCAGCAAGGTTACCATACAACTATATAATTTTATTTTTTTTAAATGGCTGAATTAATGACACAACAGGAAAGAAGAAAACAAAAATAAATAAATCAAGAAAACTGTGTTAGTAAAAATGATAACATAAAATAAGGAAGGAAAACACACATAAAACACACAACGAAAATATGACATACAGTCACACATATCATCAAATACGACGAAAAAGACATCCTAACATAAACACATTGAAAATAAAACGAACTTAGTTAAAAAAACCCAATCGCATGTCTATTGCCATTAATAAAGGCCATCAATTCTCTTGCATATAATTTCAAATGTTTAAAATCAAAATTCGATAAATCAAAATGTATATCACTAAAACTTCGTGTAGTAAAATCAGTCAATTGGCAGTCCACCACGAAGTGTTTGGCATCATCCAAAACATTACAATTTGGACGTAGATCATTATCTTGTACATGAAATCTCTTTAAATAATGAGGAAACCTACCATGTCCGATGATAATCTGATTCATATCAATGTCATCATAGATTAAAACTTTATCTGTAATTTCAACATTAATCAACAAATTATTTTTCCTTGTTGAACTTTTCCACACATCTTTCCATATATTTATATAATATTTCTTCATACTCGTAATGGCAGTTGGTCTAGAACCAGAAATTTCCACAATGGGTGCATTAGTTGAAATACATGCCTCCTTGGCCTTACCCTCTCATTACCAAAAAAAAAAAAAAAAAAAACCCACATGGGCTTTAATCCAATGAAAAGAAATCGTAGAACTGATCGATTGCAACAGAAATTTAATATCCATAATAATACAGTTAACATTATCGGGACAAGAGAGCGATTGGAGCAAAGAAAGACAATCAGTATACAAATTTATAATAACACACGTTTTAATATTCATTTGAATCCATTTCAAGGCCTTCAAAACAGCAATACATTTCGCTTTGAAATACTGAATTATAAGAATTCAATCTATATAAACCATAATCAATTTCAACATCATAGAAATATACAACAAAAGCAGCTCCAGTACACCTCCCTTACCCCGAACCATCCGCATAAATATCATATATTCCAATTTTTGGAATTTTTAAACCCATAACTGATTCTATTTACAGGGTGTAATAAATGTATATTAAGGTTTTAAAAAACATATTTAGTAATATTATTGGAATCAAAACAAATCATATCAATATTTCCAGAACGTAAAAGATATTTCTTGTAATAAAATTCGTAATAAACTGAGAATGGAGGAAGTCCGGCCAATACACAAACCACCTCCGTGGGGACTGTCCTAAAACAGAGAGCAATTTCAAGACCCCAAGCTCTCTGTATAGAATCCAACTTCATCCGGAGCCTCAGCAGCTCCCCCGCTCTGGACCATCGTGGTGTTGCAGACAGAAGCGCGACTCGTCAGTAAAGACAATTTCATTCCATTCTGCAGCCCACATCCTTCTTTCATCGCACCATTGGCGGCGGAGACGTCTGAGGTTCTGCGTCAAGGATAGACGAAGCAATGGGCGTCTTGCGAACAGACCACTCTGCTGTAAACTGCGTCGAATGGTACGCGCAGACACTGGATGATGTGTTGTAGACTGAATGTGCTGTGCTATGGTTCGTGATGTGACTGAGCGATCCGTCACTGCCATGCGCACAATGTTCCTGTCATCACGTGAAGTGGTGCACTGAGGTGGATGCGATCAAATACGTCGGCTCGTCGTACCCTCCTGCATCCAACGGTCACATATCCGCATTACAGTTGTTTGGTTTCGTCCAACACGACTACCGATTTCCCTGAAAGATAATCCACACTCTCGGTAGGCCACTATCCTTCCTTTGTCGAACTCGGATACTTGATCAAACGATCAAGCATACTACGCAGTATAATTGATCTTTTTTTTTTGTTTGAAAAAACCGCAAGAAAAACGCAATTGCTGAACTTCAAATCGTCTAAAACTCCAAGCCTTAAATAGCGCTTTGAAGTGGCGCCACAGGCACGCGTGATGTGCGTCTGCGCTGAAATTCTAATCTGTTGCATTTACGGTAGCTAGCAGTTTACATGCAAGCGGCAACGTCAAATGTGCATGTGAAAAGTCAGTGACAAATTTGTAGTTAATGCTCAACCTCAAATGAAGAACTTTACGATGTAGAATTAATTCTTTGCGAATTCTGCCACCAGATTTCCATAATGAAAATATTTGTATCTTTGTCGAGAAATTGTCCTTGTTCTTCTTTTGACCTTCATGCTGTATGGCTTTTTCTATTGCGAAATAATTTATAAAATCTCTCAGGAAAGAGCCAATGAGAAAATATAACTAAATTGAATAATAACAAGTTTTTCATTTTCATTTCAAAATCATATCATATTTTTCTTACCGTGTCAAGGAATTCTACGTATTTCAACATGTAGACCATCCAGCCGCAGGCTGCTAACTAAAATATATAAAAGAGTATAAAATCAGAAGAATGAAAAAGTATCATGAGAGAATTAAGCTATTTTGTAAATACAGCAATTTGTTCTAAAAATAAAATATCTGGCAAATATAGTAATCTCTCAATTAAACATATTTCGTTTTGAATTTCTCATAGTTATTCTCCGTGTTTTAGAAGTTTCAGCTGAAGAGATATCAAAAGAAATTAATTTGATTTTGGATTATGTTTCTTGGCTTGAATACTCATTCTCAGAATGCATTGCAAATATTTTCACGGTAATATTTCCCGACATCCCTTTGATGGAAATTTAGCGTTGATTCTGACACCCCTATTCAAGAATGCCGTCTGCGTCTCTCTCAGATTAACTTTCTATTTGATTTAAATTTGTTTACGTCTGTGTCACTAATTTGTCAATTTATAATAAGTGGCACATGAATGAAGTTATCGATTTCCTTAGAGGTCGAAGAGGATAAAAACTCCATGATTGCAAAACCACTGTTGTTGTTATTGCTAATGCTCACTTATATGATTCATAGCTAGCCTAAGCCAACAAAACTCTTCACGGTAAGGAGCACCAGGTATACGCCTGTCGTTAGACCCAACCTTCAGCACATTACAAGGTGACATAAGGACTTGGGACTGGTCCGAGGGTTTCCAAGTTGCATATAAGCAAAATGCACACTGCTAGGACAACGGCTTGACTTTGACCAAAGACAGTCCAGATGAGGATCACCATTAACTCCGCCCACATGACTGATGTCTTATTTCTGCCGTTTGTTACTTCCTTGTACAAAGTAAAAAGGAAGTATTGTAATCGCGAATAGTTTCAGGCAGCATATTTCAACGAAAATATCCATTTTGACCGCTATCGAATGCAATTTAACGATGTTTTTGCGTGATATCTGTACGTAAGAACAGAATAAGAGACACTTTTTCCTTCAAAAAAATTATAAAACTGCTTTAAAATGAATTTTGAAGAGAATTTTTCGTGTCGTCTGTACGTACGTACGTACGTACGTATCTCGCATAACTCAAAAACGAGTAGCCTCAGAACGTTGAAATTTTGTACATAGGACTGCTATAACATGTAGACGTGCATCTCGTATTTTGGTTGCAATCGGCCACACCAAACGTATATAAATATATTTATATATATATCCACTCTGTTACCCGGCTCATTTTTTTTTTTTTTTTGTGATCTCAGTTTTTGTTTTTCTTTACTCTTATATGTTTGTAAATTGTACATATTTTGCTTTAAAAATGATTGAATTATGTTGTTTTTATCTTCCGGTTAAGGATTTTATGCCTTTAGTAAATTTGTGTGCACTATTTTTAGAATTATCAGCACTTTTAAAGTTGTTTAATTGCCGCTAAGCCTGTTTTTAATGGCGGCCATTGATGTTTACGTTTGAAACAGGAGACTAGTGGATTTGTTGCCAATCTAGAGAAACTTAGCTTCGCAACAACAAAGATAACGCATTCATTTATTATTGCCCATTAAATGATGCTTAATTCTTTCTGGAATGTTTTCGAGGAAATAAGCGTTTGAGATTTACTTCGTAATTTTTTTTATAGATATTTTGAGTTTTTATGTATTTTTGCCTTCTCGCGAAGTGAGAACTGAATTAATTGAATGAGAAATACTCAATCGTCTGTGAAAAACTTTCTTTTTTGTTTTGTTCGCTAAATTTCTTTTATACATAGTTCTAGCTTTATTATAGTATTTGAATAGAACATGTGGCAACGATTAGATAATTCTCTAAATGATATACATTTTGTGCATTCTGAGTTAGAATAGGAATGAAATATAATACTGTTAATTAAAACTAGCGCCAGAGTGTCGCTATGGTAAACAAAGTGAATTTTAAAGAATGCATTTATTCTATTGTGGTTTATGCGCTGTCGGCGAAGTAGATTTAATTCAATCCAATAAGTTTAAATGAAATGCAAGAAAAAAGGCGTATAATTTAATATTCCGTACAAGGAAGTCATGTGGTGTACACATCAGATTTTTTATATTCTGTGGAGCGTTAAAAAGTACGTTCCTTGAATGAACAACGTTCTTACTCTGCAATGTAAATTTGCTCTGATGCTTTATTTTTTATTTTTACTTCCTTGTACGAAGTAAAACGGAAGTATTGTAATCGCGAAAAGTTGTTTTTGCGTGACATCTGTAAGTAAGGATAGGATAAAGGACTGTTTTCCTTGAAAAAAATTGTAAAACTAATTTAAAATGAATTCTGAAGAGAATTTTTCGTGGCGTCTGTGCGTACGTACCTTTGTATCTCAAATAACTCAAAAAAGAGTAGCCTCAGAACGTTGATATTTTGTATACAGGACTACTATAACATGTAGATGTGCACCTCGTATTTTGGTTGCAATCAGCAGCACCAAAAGTATATAAATATATGCATATGTATATATATCCATTCTCTTACTCGGCTCAATGACCTCCGTTTCTTTATTATATATATGTAAATTGTGAATTTTTGCTTTAAAAATGATTGAATTATGTTGTTCTTATCTTCCGGTTAAGTGTTTTATGCCTTTAGGAAATCTGGAAGCCATATTTGTAGAATTATCAACCATTTAAAAGCTGTGAAGTGCATTTAAGCCTAATTTTTAAATAACATGGCAGACATGTTTTTTTATAATTGAAACAGCAGAATAGTATATTTGTTGCCAATCTAGAGAGACTAAGCTTCGCAACAACAAAGATCACGCCTTCATTTATTATTGCGAATTAAATCATTCTTAATCCTTTCTTGAATTTTTTCGAGGAAATAAGTGTTTAAGATTTACTTCGTAATTTTGAATACAGATATTTTTAAGTTTTTATGTATTTTTGCCTTGTCGCGAAGTGAGAACTGAATTAATTGAATGAGAAATACTGAATCGTCTGAATGAAGTGCAGCTAATATTTGATTGGTTATTAGTAGCGTTACAAAACGTCGAAAGATCTCCAATTTGGAAGAACAAAATGAATTTATGTGGAGAGTACCAAATTTAGAATGTTAATTTTGAGGTCGCCAGTTGCATTTCAAAAGCAGCTATCGTACTTTATTATATCGTAAACACACACACATATATATAATGAACAAAAGGCAAGGTTAACCAAAAATATTTATCTGAATCATAAACTGGTCTTTATATCTTTCTCAAAGTATTTTAATTGAAATATGTAAAATATTTCATTTTACTGCGTCCATTTCTGTTTTAATGTCCTTTGCAAAATCAGTACGGGGAATTTTCTACTTAAATTTCAAGTAAGAAATAAAAAAGTCATCTTACATCTAGTTGGATAAGTAGGATTTATGCAACTTTATTTAGGAAAACTCTTCAAGAAAACCTTCAGCCTTCCACTTGTCAATTCTTCTTCATGTATTTCCAGTAAAAAGTCTTCAAAACCTTCAAGACTTCGTCTTCATGTGATTGTGAGCTGTCGTAATAAAGAAATCAGTGCTTATTTTTCTGTTCCTAACGTCGTTTGTTGCAAACATTCTCTTCCAAATTGTGTTAGAACGTTAAAATGAAGTCCGACTCTCTTATTTAGGATAGGTAGGTAATAGCTGATAAAAACTCAAAGCAGATGACGGCACAACATTCCGATGGCTCACAAGTGTTGTTCAGCGATGCAACTATCATGACATAAAAGCTTGAAGGCTTTCGTAGGAGTCATTTGCTCTGATTCCGAAATTAATCAGAAACCTACTCTCATTTCCTATAATGTTTCTTGAAGGCACTTTAAGCCAATTTGCAAACGTACTGAACACATTTTTGACGAAATTGTTCAGTCAACCCACAAACTGAGGGATCGATGCAAACGTGCCGCAGAGGATTATACACTCCTGTCCATAAATTAAGGATAATTCGGTGTCACGCGGAAATCGAACTCTGAAATAAATATATCACCTGTAAAATCACTACACACATCTTCAAGAATCATATGCAAATTTCGGGAAGTAACCAGGTGACACCGATGGTACGTCACAATGACGAGAGTGTAAGAGAGTGATATATAAGGAATACAGGCAAAGAAGAAAAATTGTTCGCAGGCGGTTTATAAGCATTTCAGTGCAATAACCGAATAGTTATGCCGCAAAAGACGCATTTGGATGATTTTTTACGTGGTAGAATTATCGACCGTCTGGAATGTGAGCGTACCCAACTGGAAGTATCAGACGAACTTGGAATTGATCAGAGTGTCATCTCCAGGTTTTGGCAACGATTCCAAGATGATGGTAATGTGAGTAGACGTTACAGCACAGGTCGCCCCAGAGTTACAACGCTGAATGAGGACCGGTATTTGGCAGTTACTGCCAAAAGAAACAGGCGGAGCACAGCCTCAGACCTGCCTCGTCAGCTTTCTTCAGCCACTGGTACGACAATTCCAAGGCAGACCGCTTACAGACGCTTAGGGCAGATTGGTCTATATGCTCGTAGACCTGTCAGATGCGTTCCACTTACCGCAACTCACTGTCGCCTGCGGTTAGCGTGGAGTAGAGAGCGTGCATTGTGGAAACCGCAAAAGTGAGCTTGTGTGATGTTTTCCGACGAGTCCATGTTTAGCTTGCAGTCTGATTCTCGCCGGACTTTCATATGGAGAGCTCCAGGTACCCGTTACTACCAAGAAAACATCATTGAACAACACCGTTACGGTGGTGCAGGAGTGCTCGTTTGGGGTGGAAATATTCTGGGTTCCAGAACTGACCTGCACGTTCAAATTGGAACCATGACAAGCCAAATCTATCGGGACGTCATTCTGGAACAACATGTACGTTTGTTTTGGGCGCCACGGGCGCACTGTTTGTGTTTATGGATGACAACGCCCGTCCTCACCGTGCAAACATCCTAAGCGAATGCCTTCAATCGGAGGATATCGTATGGACTGGCCAGCATTCTCGCCGGACTTGAATCCAGTACAGCACGTGTGGGACATGCTTGGCCGACGAGTTTCAGCCCGTCAACCTCCACCTACATGTCTACCGGAACTTCGGAGAGCATTTCTTTTGGAGTGGTGTAATATCCCCCAAGATCAGATCGATAATTTGATATTCAGCATGCCTAGGCCTTGTACGGACTGTATTGTTTTTGTAAAAAGGTTTTTTTTGTAATTTGCTCCAGGGAGAAAAAATCGCTAATTTTTTTAATAATATCAAACATATAGCATCTTTTTTGTTCTTTACCTTTTGTTTAATAAATAATCTTTACAAATAAGTCAAATTTGTTTTACTTCTAACTCTTCGTTTGCCTGATTTTGGATTATCCTTAATTTACGGACATGAGTGTAGATTATTTGATCAGTTCAGTATCGTTCGATGTCTGGAGTAAAGTACTTCTAATACTGGCACCTAAAACCATTTTCAAGTATTCTTAGTACTGTAAAATAGTACTATATACATTGGTTTACAAATGAGTTGTTAATCAAAGTTAGAAATGGATCTGTGTCAGTAAACGTCATTTTCCCATCTTTTTTACCAATTAAGTTTTAGCCATGCACTAATGTGGCCAAATGTGTACCTTGATTTATTTCTCAACAGCGATTAAAACAATAATGATTTTTACTTCATGTTAGTGCTACATTTTTATGAATACAGTAAGACCCCGCTTAACTCTGTTTCGTTTAGCGCTGTTTCAGTTTAGCGCTCTTTTATTTCAACCCGGGGATTCCACGAAATCGCTCGCAGCATACGGGGATTCCCCGAAATATTATGCAGCGATAGGTTTCAAATACATATCCGAAAGAGTGTACTTGTATTTCTTGTTTGTTGCGGTATTGTACAGACATATTTTGAAGGGGTAAATGTGGAAGATGTCGAAGAAATAATTCAAGAAGCAGCGGCTAGTCTTTCTAATGATGAGCTCAAGGAATTAACTGAACAAGAAGGAAACAAAAATGTTGACAGCAGTGATTCAGAAGAAGAGCAAAAAGAACTTTCGATGGCGTTTGTAAAAAGGAGTTTGTCTACCATAACTGAAATAATGGATCAATTCATTGAAAATGATCCGAATTTTGACAGGAGCTCTCAAAAGTAAGGCGTGGTGTTAGAGATGCTCTATCCGTTTATGAAGAACTTTTAAGAGAACAACGCAAAAGAAAAAGGCAAACAACATTAGATGCTTTTGTCACAAAAAGGCAGAACACTGAAAACGCGGAAGGCTAACTAAATATGACTGACTGAGAATTTTATTTGTTTTTTTTTAAGAATATTCGTTTTGTTATTTATATTTTGTTTTTATTTTTGCAAGAAATAATAATGTGGTATTAATTTGGGCCTCAAGAAATAAATGTTTGGTTTTATTTTTATTAAAAAAACATACTTTTTAAAATTTAATACCTAACCAATTTCCTAGCCATCTTCCCCTAACCTCAATATTTACATGTAAAGATAGCCTCGTTTAGCGCTGTTTCGCATTACGCTCTACTTTGATGGAACGTATCCTCCGCGTTAAGCGGGGTCTTACTGTATAATATGAAAGAAGCCTGTAATGGATATAATTAGTCCAAACGGGTACCCAGAAGGACTATTAACTTCGATTTGACATTTTGCGTTGATTCACTGTTAAAGTCGGTTCACTTTTGGCCGCAAAATATTAAAGCTCTGTATTATATTTAAAAAAATTAAATAATGAAGAATCTGCATAAATGTATGTATGTGCCTCGCATTGTAATAAAACAACGGTACCTAGAACCATCAAATTTTGAATACCGTACGTTTCCACCCGATTATGGACATCTGGAAGCACAAATTTGGAATTTGCAATTTGTTTTATGATCTATTTTATATTTTGTAAAACCTCAATGAATTTTTTATTAACAAGCTCAACGATTCCAAGCGAACAATGAAAACACTGTACGGGGAAAAACATTCTCTCCAGCGCGCGAGACTCTGTATCGGAATCACTAAAGATATGCTCAGTTTAAAATCATTTTGACTTACTGTTGTTGAACTGAATTTTGTAATTTAAGTGAGAACATGATATTTAATAAATAAAGGTAACACACCAAACGTATTCTTACCGTGTATGTAGAATCACTCGGGTTGACGTTAGAATTCTTGCAAAGTATTGCAGGATCGATTCTCACCATATTAGCCATGAACTAAAATAGAAAAACAACACATATACTTAAGAAAAGCTGCAAATTAATCAGTATAAGCAACGTTTGCAAGCACTGAGAAATTATTTATCACTTGTTTTCCTTAAACATTTTTACCACTTGTTGCCCTTTCGTCTTCCTGTTAACCCTCCGAGCGTTACGGGTTTAGCCCTGAAATTTCAGAGTTCTTCAAAATGTCTTGAATAAGTGATATTTTCTTGGCTTTAATTAAAAGACTACCCTCTCACTTTGTACCTTGATTCCTTTTCTTTCAATATACATCCAAACCAAAACTGGATGCATTAAAATCTAGCAGAAATTTTCATGTGTAATAAATAAAGAAGCCAGCCTTCTATGCGGAATTTTCTGGCCGTAACGCTGAGAGCAGTTTATAGAAATTCATTGAAAAATTAATTGGTTAATTTTCGGATTATGGTAACTTGGCGATTTTTTGGCGAAAATTTGGCGACCAACCCTGCTACAGAAACCTGCTAGTTTTTTTTTTTTTTTTTTTTTTTTTTTGGACGCCATTTTGTTGTCACGAAGTAAAGACATGTTTTTTTACTCAACATTTTTTTTCCAACAATCTGCTAGCCGTATTACGCTTATGCTAGAACTTTTATGGAACAAAAGTACTTAATCATGACGAAGATTAGGTACGAAATTGGGAGAAAGTGCAGAATCGCCCACTGCTTGCCGCGTTTTTAAGAACTGCACATACACGGTATCATCCATGTACACGTCGACCTATTTTCACTTAAAAAAAACATATCAGAATTGCACAAAAATGGCATTGCGCACACTCTTGACTTTATCCATTTACACTGCTAAAGTCCTAGCTAGTTATCGCCTTACCAAAATGTAACCAAACTACCTGTTACCATATTTCAAAGATTAGCCAATTAATTTAATTGCGTATTAATAATGAATATATATTTTACAAAGAATTGCGAAATGGTAAATGGGTTTTATAATTTTACTAACAATTTTAGATTTTTGTACGTTTTACTTAGATTTTGTACGTACTAGTTTTAGATTTTTGTTCATTTCACTCTCTTAGTACAAAGAAAACGATTTAAAAATAATTTATGATGTATTTTCTTCCTCTTTCTGCATGTCTTCGTGGTTCGTATTTGAGAGGTCTAGGTTCAAGTCTTGGTGAGGGGCACTGCACATTTTTCACGTCTCCAACATAAAAAAATTCTATGATTCTACAGTGGCGCCCGAACTAAAAGGATGGTGAATAATGATTCTCCACCATTAGGATTTGGCGACTGGGTACCGTAATCCTCAGTCACCCTTTAAAAGGGGGTGTGTAAAAAGTATTTCTCCCGCCTTCTTAGCAGACGCGAAAGTGATTAGTGACTCTGCCTTACTGAACGGCCCGGGTTCGAATCCTGAAGAAAGCATGAATATAATTCGTCCGTCCCTTCGTAGGAGGCAGCGGAGGCCTACCTATTAGCTGCCTCCTTAATAAAGTGATTACCACTTCCGGCCTTAGTAGTGGCAAGCGCTTATAAACGGACAGATCCACCAAACAAAAGGGGGGGGCAGTCTGACAGCTTTCAGATTTTATATTACGTCCAAAGGGACGTTTTTTAACGTTCTGTGTGTTACTTTTATTTATTAAATATCATATTCTTTGCACTTAAAAAATAAAATTCAATACAACAGCAATACAACAATATATTTAAAAACAGAACATATATAGAATTTTCGATAAACAGTCTCGCGCGCTGGAGATAAAAGTGTTTTCTTTCGTATAGTGTTGCCACTGCTTGCTTTGAAATCGTTGAGTTTGTTTATAAAAAATTTGTTAAAATTTCAAAAAATATGAAATAGAAAAATTCCAGATACAAAATTCGGGCTTCCAAGTGCCCATGCTCGGGTGGAGGCTTAAGTTATTCAATATTTGATGGCTCTAGGTGCCTTCGTTTTTTTTTACAAAGCAAAAAACAGGCATGCATTCATGCAGATTCTCCATTATTTAATTTCTTTAAATATAATACAGGGCGATAACATTTAGTGGCAACAATTTGAAAAGTGATTCAGCGCATTAAATTTTCATAGCAAAATGGCAAAGCGAAATTAATAGCCCTTCCCGGCAAAATTGCCTCTTTGGGACAAAAAGAATTTTTTTGATGGAAGTATCGAAAGATGATGTGTTTTGGAGCTGAATGTTAACTATCTTAAAAAAGAAAAGCTGAAGAAGGTAGTTCAAAAACTATCCAAACTAGTCCTGCAAAAAAATTTACGCTGATTCTTAATGTTGGACTTTGTTTTTGATTGTTATTCAGCGTGATATTTAAGCGTGATATTTTTAATTGTTCGAAATTAACAATCATATTGTTTTAAATTGATTCCTAAACTTCCATAGCTAATTTTGTGCGCCTTGTGATTGTTTACTTGAGGCAATGCCTTATTGGCCTCACCCGTGCCTCGACTCTGGGTTTTAGGTAATAACTTTAGATAATTAAACAATAGCTTAAAATTAAAATAAATGTTTTGGACATACAACTGTAATTTATTAGGCAGGTTTTTAATAAATTGATGTGGAATTTTTTAATTTTTGTTATTTAAATTAATATTCTTATTTCTTTCGAAAAACTCTTGACTATCCCTAAGTATACTTTAATTGTTTTGCTATGATTAATAATCGTGTTTGCTGTGATTTTTCTGGAGATGTTGGATTGCCAATTAATAAGATTGTTGTGTTTTTGATACCGAAAAAGTCTTCTTTTGTCAAATAAATTTATTTTATTTAGATTGGAAATTTGTAGTTCCAAATAATCTGCATTTGTATCACTGTCATTAGTTTTGCCTAGTTAAAGGCATTTAAATAATTATCTTGTTTTTTAATTTCATTGTAATTACAATGTCAATAATGTTGTATATATATCTGAGGGTAACAAATTTAAAAGATCTGGATTCTGGTAGCTGTTAATATAATTAAATTATTTAACGACGAGAAAAATGGTACGAATATCTGTGGAATGTTTTGCAGACATATGGAATACGATAAATTTGTGGATAAATTTTATTTTGCTTTTCAATAAATTAATTATAGTGTGTGTAGTGTGTGCATTTAAGATAAGTATTCCATTTTTCGATATCAATTAAATCTTTAATGTTAGGAATTATATTGTAAAAGTCTATTAAACTATTGCAAACCTCATAATTCATTGATCAAAATTAATGCCACATAAATCATATTTTATTGCAAATTCTACCTCTGTACATTTTTTCAGTTAGCATGTTATTGTATCCAAAGAAACCTATATTAATGTTTAAGGTTTTTTATATTTATTAAAAGTAACATATTTAAATACTCATTTTGTATTATTTTCACTTGGCCAGCGTATAATCTTGATACATACTCAATTATCAAGCTTAAGAATCCTTTTGTAATTTATCTGAGTATTTATCTGAGTAAAATTGAGAAAATTATTTAAATATGACGTACGAAACAATATCCTCCAATATTGCTGCTAAGATTACATAAAATTTTATTTACTATTTTAAATTTAAAAATACAGCCAAAGTATGATCAAAAAGTGAAAAAAATTCAAATACTGGAATAAACTACTTTAACGACGACTGAGATAGTAAAATAGTTTGGAAAAATAAAATACACAAGTAAATGCAGAAAGAGAAAAAGTAGTATTATCATTGCCAGATTCACTCGTTTTCAAGAGAAGATAGAGTCTATTAACGTTTTTTTTTCCTGGCTAAACTATTTTTGTCCGCTTCAAATTAGCTGATGCACTGAAATTAATTGTTTTAATTATTTGTATCTCTGAAAAATAAAGATGCCAACCCTCCATAACGATTTCGCCAAACCAAAAGTAAAACAATTCTAATTACTTAAAAAGAATAAACACAAATTCGTAGATTAGGCAAACGAAATTTTAAAAAGGCTAACCTGCTCACCTAAATATCAAGCTGCTATCTTACAGTGAAAACTGTAAACAGATACAAAACATTTTGTGACATAGTACATTCTGAAGTTTATTCAGTTAAACGTAATTAAAAGGAAAGATTCGAGTCTAAATACAAAAGGAATAAATGAAATCGGCCAAATGTAATTGTACTCATATGATGAAAATCTGAGAAAACGTGACTGTTACATACATATTTAGAAGTTGCCACAAAAGGAGGAGACTTGAGAATTTGCTCTTGGCGAATTAAGCTCATCAATTAATATTGGCCCAAAAAGCAATTGGGAAATTAAAAACTGTTGTGTCAAATTAAAAAAGACATTAAAATTAAATGCTGGCAAAAGCAAGGAAAAATGAAAAAAAGGGGAAAATGTTTTAGATAGAGAAACAGTTTTTACGCTAATTGGCTTATAAAAGCGGCATTAGAAATGAATATGGACAATTTGTTAGTCAAAGCCAGAGAAAGAATAAATGCAAATTTACAGGAAAAATTACAAAATTTACATGTATACATAGTCTAAATGTCTCTCATTTTCTCCTTAAAACCTCTTCTCAATTCCTCCTTAGGTTTAAGAATGGGCTTCATAATGTGATAAAACTTCATAGGTAGTAGACCTACTTCTCTTTCATAAAATGTATTTAATAAATACCAACAGAATTTGATTAGTTATCAAAGTCTTTCGTAAAAGTAAAACCATTCCTTTTTGCTGCTGTTCGATTTCCGTACAAACATATTTAATAGTAATTAATTGATCATACTATTACTTTTCAGAGAAGTTAGTTTTCCATTTAATCAGATTGACTGTAGTAAAGTTGAAATCTATACTCTCGTCATACAGTCTTACTTCCTGGTGATTGACAATGCCTAGATCAAGATATTCCACAGCCAACTGATCTTCCCAAGCCAAATAAGCATACTTTGCCTGATTTTGTTTTAATTTAAAATGGCGAAAAATTATATATCTATATCTATGTAATATTACGAAGTTAATTTACATACATACGAAGTGTGACACAGAAGAAACGAAACTAAGTGTGTAGCTTGAAAAAAGAGTGAAGTTGGCA